GAAATGATTTTTATTATCGAATTATTATAGATCTGGAATGGGGTTTGCCACAGCGGAACGATGGTACTAATTTGCAGACAAAGAAGACGCTTGAATAATTGAAACTGCTTGACTGCGTTTCACTGACCGACATATTCCCAGCGATCCTTCGCATCAGCGTGTTCCTAATGCAATTATCTAGTTCGTCTGTCGTAGTACCGGGTGTGCAAGAAATATTAGCTAAGGTGTTTTCATATTTGAAAATAGGAACTATAAATACGTGTAAACGAAATAACATTTTTACATCTGCAAAAATATACTGTAATGCTTGACGTAAATAATAATTCAGTGCGTCTTATACATTTCTTATATTTTGTGGTTCATGGAAATGAGATCATTACTCTACAATAAATTACTTTTCGCTCCGAATAGACTCTAACTAATGTGAGCCAGGTAGGACTGTTGGCGCAGACCGAACTGCAAGTGTATTTTCCGTATTATTTATTTATATATTTATTTAGTGTTCTGTCTGACGACAGGTCCATATGAACAGGATCGTTCCATCCTTTTCTCGGACTGGGACCTGTTCATATACGTTCTTGGCAGATGATCCAGAAGTGGTTTGCCATTGCCTTCTTCTGTGTGTGAATGGAGTAATTGTTGGGATGCCACGGAGGAAAACTCCGTGTTGCCTAGACCACGGCCTTGCCCAACACAAGTTATAAATTCGGGCACCGCCGGAAATCGAACCCGAGACCCCAGGATTACAAGGCCAGCGTTCTAACCGCTAGACCACCGTGGCGGTTATTTTCCGTATTAACATAACTAAAGTAAAGCTTCATTTCCATGGCTTATAAGAAATGTTGCAAATTCCACTTCAAGGCTTGGTGGGAAATTTGGTTTCATCTTCTTTATACCTCCTGACTTTCGACTCATAAGGCTTCCAGAGGGAGATATACTCTGTTGACAACAATGGCCGCTGTAATCTGTGCTCTGTTCAGGATGGCCACTGATTGCAGTGCTGGTATTTGCTGTAAGAATTAAAGACTTAAATAACTGGACATGGATAAATGAATTCTGAAACAGTCTGTGGACGTGGTTCCGACTCATTGCCGACGCCGCGCCTGATAAAACCAGCTGTAGCTGAACGTCACAGTCAGGGGAACTTAACTTCACGAAGCCTTTCACTTCGCAATGAATTACTGGTCTAATTGTAGACGTCGATATTTGAAATCTCGCTAACGCACCGATAACCTCAGAAATTCTCGGGGCTGGCGTTTTAGTAATTTCCGATACGAACACGAAAAAATGCTTTGTACAAACTGTGTACACATGTTTATAAACCCCCCCCCCTTTCGTAAAAAGTTTCACAGTGGGTGATAAATTATTGTCGTGAAATCGAAAATAAAATAACGTATGTGTGTGCCGCCGCCATATTGTTGAACGGGTGTTACAAAATGGAACTTGGGATGAGTTGCACTGACAAGATCATATGAAAATGCCTACGGGTAGTGAAATCTGTCCCCACATTCGGCCACAGAATCTTAACATGAACGACCGTAATTAATTTGATCGCCTGTTTAATATGTATTTAAGACCACCATCTTGCTGTGATTCCCTATATTAACCGCAACTTGCAAGTTTTATTTCTTGGTGAGATAAAGTTACTTCAACTCATTTACATCCGTTCTATCTCATAAAAACTTCTACTTTTTATTATAGATTACAGTAGTTTAATAAAATGAGAATTGACTTAGTATGAAGTAATCTGTGAATATCCGTATTCAAAATTGGTTCCAGAAATGTCGTACAGTGGACATTAAACGATCAATAGAATTTTCCCTGGTGGAGCTGACACAATGTTCTGTTAGGTCGGAGACGTCGTGTGGCAAATCTGCAGACGTCAATGTGCTCCCGGGTAATCTTCAGGGTGTCTTGTATTGGGATTCGGAGTAGACGTACTCTGACGTGATGAAATGGTTCATGATTAGCACGAAATGCCACGTGTGTTGTAGTGACACGGGATCGTTGAGAGAAGTCTCCTGCGATCTGGTGTACCGGGGTCAAAAGGGGAAATTCCGACAGTCCCAGAGGACGGCCATGGGATCTCCATTATTCTCTCTACTGGCCAACGTGTTTGTGATATCTTTCGTGGACGAAGCCATCGACATCTACACGATGATACCTTGAATGCCAACACAGAAACTTAGACGACGCAATTGTTAATTTGGCCACCCTGATTACCCGCCCTTAAGAGACTCCCTCGGTCACCTGAACACCACGCATCCGAACATCAGGATGTCCGTGGAACTGTAAAGTTACCGCCAACTAACATTTTGGACATGGACAGTGGCTACAGGCAGCATCACACCCAGCCATCGGCTCATAAGAGGTTCATCATAACCATCTTGCTGGACAGAGCGAACACTTTTTGACGAGACCAGCATGGCCTCCAACCTGCGGCATGTTATGTTTGTCCCTGCAGGTCATCAGCAGGGAAACAGGGCGGGGGGAGAGACCTCCATATATCCAAGGTACAACCAAGTGCATGTCCAGGCTATTAAAAAATAGGGAATCCCCACCAAGCAGAAACCACTGAACAAGACGGCCTTCAGATACACGCAATGCCAGGCAAGATCCCCTGCTCCTGTGGCAAGGACTACATCAACCAGGATCAGGATTTTGGAACATTTTTGAGAGATCGGATCTACAGCGCCCGAACATTTTGCAACAGCTGACAGCATTGACGTCGACAGAGAAGATGCCATAACCAAAATGCGGAGGGAACAAGTATAAATAACCAAAACCCCACCAAGTTCAGCTGAGAACACGGATACTGATAAGCTAAGCTGAGTCTTTGTCGACCCGCTGTAAAAATTTTATAAATACAGTTTTTATAGACGTAAAAATGGGGAATTTTAATATTTGTTCCTTCAAGTTTCGAAAGTACTTAATTTGGGAGTAGCCGAGTGACTGCACAGGAAAGAAGAATAAGAATAGTTTGCTATCCTGTTAGGACAAGAAACAAATGATGCAGTGGACGGAGTAGCCACTCCGGTCTGAATAGTTTGCTGTCCTGTTAGGACACAAAGAAACAAATGGTGCAGTGGACGGAGTAGCCACTCCGGTCGTTAAAAATTCAGCTTCCTTACCGGACGACATTCCGAAGCTGCGATATTTTACTTTTCTCTGGTTTCCTAAGTCTTGTGGTATCATCGTGCGTCTGAGGGATCATCTTAAACCGACTGCTCTTGTAGGAGAATGTGCTCTGGAGTATTCAGTGCGTTCACTAATAAAGTTTAACGTAACTGTCACTTCCCGACTCCCGGCAGGACCTGCTGTAATTTTCCCAAGTTGCTCGTTTGTATCGTTTTATGGAGCGATGCACGACTCGTATAGAGAACACCTGTGAGTCACGTAGTTCAAGCCGGGAACCGGGATCTGATAGTTGCGTTAAACTTTGTCAGTGAACGCACTGCATTCAAACCAACAGGCCGAGGACAAAAGGACATGACAGGGTTATTAAATGGGGGCGGATAACGTAGGTGACCATGTTGTGTGCAAGGGGGGATTATAAATGCGAGAATTTGGCCACCACCCATCAGGAAATGTGAGGTTAATAATGAACGTGTTGGTAAATTCTCAGCCTGTGAGCGCTACTCCTGCTTACTGGACCTAATACGCTCATTAGTTGAAGTAGACATTTGTGTTCCTCCTTTCACCAGTCACAAGTCTTTAACCAGAAAACCGATTACAACACCTGACTGCATTGTGACCTGCAGTCACAGCAGCAAAGCCAAAAGGCCCAGGCCAATCATCAGGCAATAGGCAACGGGCTCAGTGCAATATGGGTTTAGTAGACCAGGAACTGTTTTATTACAGGAACAGAGTAATGTAGCCATGCAGATATAATCAATTTACGCGTGAATTATATTATGACCTTTGTTTTTATCATTACAGGCATAATTCGTGTTATTTATATACCTATTATAACATTATGGTCGCTTATGAAGAAGTTTGTCCACATAATATACCACACTCTATTGATTGTGGATATTTTAACGAAAGAGAAGTCATTCATAATGCAAATTATTCCACTCTACATTCCTCTGCCACATTTCACAATCACATTACGGACTTTCGTAAATAAACGAGACAATAGTTTCTGAGCAGAGTTGATTAAACATTTTTTTCCTTGTTTCTTATTCTCTGAATTTCACCGCGGACCCAATTATCGTTTGTTAACTTCAGTTTTACGTGCTTTAAAATTATTTAACACCCGTTATTTTACTGTGAAATTGTCTCGTATTTTCTTTTCATAATTCACTCGTAGCGTTGCTTTGTTTTATGGTCTCTGACTTTCGCTGCCTAACGGAAAAATTTCTGTCTTATTCTTTACTGTTTTTTTTTATTTTGGATTAATCAAGTTATGTCGTCATAAAGTGTTACATATTGTCTTCCTTATTCTAGGTACAAATTAAAATAAATGTTGATAAATAATCCAGTAATTTAAGCATATTTTGGATTGGAAATGTAGTTTTCTGGTTCAAACGTTAATGAGCTACTGTTGCATGCATACTGGGGATACTGGGAACGACCCGTTCTTCAAGTGTCTGAGCACTGCGGGTCACAACTTTTCGTTGGCTTGATCTATAGACATTCGGCAGGACTCCTTGGACGAGGCCTCTACCTGTACACAGGACAACGCGGACAAACATCCATGGCTTGAGTGGGATTCGAACCCAGCGACCAAGCGGCACAAGGCCCACACCTCAGACCTCGCGGCCACTGCGACCCCGTTGCATGAATGCGTTGATTAATTAACATCAGTAAATTCTACGGAATAATTCGTATGTTTAGTTTGGATTTGTTGTGATGTTCTCTTCTCACGGTTCAAGTTTTCGTAAAATTTAGTTGAGTGAGACGGTTGTCCACGGTGACGAAGCTTTCTGTGCAGATGGTCGTGTTGACTGATAATGCCAAATGCCATGTTGATTAACCGGAGCGTGCGTTTGTTGCAGTGCGAACACGCAGATGGACAACGATGTGACGCCAGTGTACTTGGCCGCGCAGGAGGGTCACCTGGAGGTACTCAAGTTCCTGGTCACTGAGGCTGGCGGCTCACTGTATGTGCGCGCCAAGGACGGAATGGCACCGGTTCACGCCGCGTCGCAGATGGGCTGCCTCAGTTGCCTCAAATGGATGGTGAGTGTGCTGCCTCAGCAAGCGGACGAAGGCCGCGTGTCGTAACCTCTCTGAGGTTTCCTCACTTTCCGTCGAGTTGCTTCTTCCAAATAGGGTGAGCGTTTCGGCTTCTAACGGCTTGTACCGCGAAGTGTCACGGACTGAACTTAACCGGAGCGATATATATCGAGTCTTGAATCAGCGATATCCGTGTGAAGAATCGATCCATGAGGCGAATGACAAGGTCTAAGCTCAGGTCGCATGAGGGATAGTGACGTAGTCAGTCAGATAACTGACAGTGCTGCCACCTGTCCGTGTGTCGTTATGGCGTTGAGCAGCGCGCAAGACTTTCCTTTTGTTACTTTGTTTCATTTCTTAATAGTTGTCGTTCCTTTCGTGGTGTGCGGGCTTGTTGCCCTGGTGGTACATCGCGTCTTGTCATCGTGGTTGCTGCAGACAGCCTGGAGCGACAGCGGCGCGGTGAGCACAGCTTGTGAACTAGGTCTTCCTCAAACAGGGACGGAAGTTTGGGAGATTTGTGTCGGCTCGCGCCATCAGCGAAAGTAGTTCGTGTGGCCTGTGTGTGTGTGTGTGTGTGTGTGTGTGTGTGTGTGTGTGTGTGGGTGTGGCTTTACCATAGTAATAACAAGAAAGAAGCGGAGTCCGCCGTCATGCTTTCGTACACTTAACGCGTTTTATAAAACGTGACGTGCTGAATCTGTTCGAGTAGACTCGTATTATTATTAATATTATATGGGCACAAACTAATGGAATGTGTAACTTTATTCAAGTGCCTAACCCTTCACCATATTCAAAAATGAACTACGTCGAAGAACGTTTTAGATTAAAATGTTTGCTGTTCATCAGCTTTTATGGATTAGGGCTTATGGTGTGTGCCAATTGAGAATTAGACTAAGGAAATGTTTATTTTGTACTTAGGTTTTAAAGACGGCAAACCATTTTATAACAAACGTGACACGCTGTGAGCTTTCAGATCACGGAAAGTAGGGTTTCACCCACATTACCCAACGGGTACCGGGGACTGTAGTTTCAAGGGGAGAAACAAGAGACGCTAAACAAATTTTACGAAAAGCTCAGGCCACACTTGGGTGACGTCGCGAAGACGGGGCAATTGGGCTAGTATTTTGAAATGTACCATAAGTAAGCGGGTGGTTGGAGGTTGGAAAGGAAATGGTATCGATTACCTCGTGATGGATTTTTAGTGTTCTGAAACCAGAGACTTGATTACGTGGGCTTAGTGTTCTACTGAATGTGTTGTATACAAAATATATGACGCAGTAGTGAAACCGATGATTATTTAGTGAAACATGTCGTTTTGAGTTTCAGCCGTGTGTGACGTGAGAACGCTTTCGTTTCAAGAGCGTTGCGTTGCTCTGCTGATCACATGCGAAGGAGAAATCGCCATGACAGTTGTGATTGCGATTGGTACAAGGGTCGAATTGCTGCACTTGGTGGGCGAACTATCTGCTACGCTACACTGTAGGAACTGAGAAAAATACGGGCGTCGATTTGGGTTCGATGATCATGCATTTGAACCGAAGAGACTTCAGCTGTTAATTAATTAATGCAAATATAATTCAGATATTGAAAACGTATGGAACTGACAGGTTATAAAAGCGATCCGTACAACTAACGAACTCTGTAGAACAGAGTCGTTCTTGAGAAGCTGATGGTGAATAAACGCCCCGTTGTTTATGGCATCCTAAGATTCATTACCAGGTTCGCAAGAACCCGTCACCGACCCCTGCCCCGAGTCAGACGGACTTAATCCTCACCCCTCTTCAGGTTTTTCAATCAGAGTTTTACACGTGTTCATGCAAAGTTAAGACAAAAGTGGCTTAAATCTGGCAATACCATGGCCTCCACGCGTTCGGACACACCTGCCAAAAATAATTTAGAACCCCTCAGACTGGCTATTACGAATGCTCTGGGCGTCTTCTGGGCAGATTTGCAGGAGATCCCGTTTTCCGAGCTCGGCTACAGGGTGTGCTGCCTGCGTTTCAGGTCCAGGAGCAGGGCGTGGACCCTAACCTGCGCGACGGGGACGGCGCGACGCCTCTCCACTTCGCTGCGAGCCGTGGCCACGCGGAGACGGTGCGCTGGTTGCTGCGTCACGGCGCCCGCCTCGTGCTGGACAAGTTCGGGAAGAGCCCGATCAACGACGCAGCCGAGAACCAGCAGATGGAGGTGCGCACGTTGCACGAACACTCGATGTGCTTCGGTCTGCCGTTCGCCCTGAGACTCACACGTTCTTCCTTTTTCAGTGTCTTAATATCCTCGTTCAACACGGCGCGACTCCCGACTACCCCGAGGCCAGGCACAAGCCGACCGGGTGCAGTTGCTGCAAAGGCGAGTCGCAGGGAAAGGTGAGTCCTGCGTCGCTTGACGAGAAATCGCTTGCAATTTTGAAAATTTATTGAGGAGAACCTTTCCTTTTCCCCGAAGTCTCGTGTTAAGCTCATTCAGATGGGATGTTATTTTTATGAGAAATTCCCAATTCCGCATCTGATAACACGGTTACTAATTTGCTGTTCTCATTAATATCTCAACTTCTTCCCTCAAATTAGTAGCACACTGCGTCTTCTAAGCCTACTTACTCCACCAAATTGTCCTCAAAAAATACTTGAACTAACGACGATTCAAACCATACTTTCTTATGAAGTTTAAGGTAGACATTCCACCTCAGAACTTTGCTTCAGTGGACCTGTTGACGAATGATACGATGGGACGTCATCGGAGGTACAGTTTTCTTGCTTTAACGTCACTGAAAATGCGACGAACAGCATCGGCTGAGCACCGTCCGAATCATCATTACTTCCATCTAAAGCCAGCGAATAGTAAAGAAGCGACATTGCTATTTCTTTCAGCGGTTCATTTTAATTGGCTCTTAGATTATATTCAGCCACGGTGGTCTAGCGGTTAGAACGCTGGCATTGTAATCCTGGGGTCTCGTGTTCGATTCCCGGCGGTGCTCGAATTTATAACTTGTGTTGGGCAAGGCCGTGGTCTAGGCAACACGGAGTTTTCCTCCGTGGCATCCCAACAATTACTCCATTCACACACAGAAGAAGGCAAGGGCAAACCACTTCTGGATCATCTGCCAAGAACGTATATGAACAGGTCCCAGTCCGAGAAAAGGAGGGAAGGATCCGGTTCATATGGACCTGTCGTCAGACAGAACACTAAAAAAAATCGAAAAGTTACTTTTCCCGTATGAGTGAACCGTCATTAGTGTCATTTAAAAGCGCCAAGTTTTAAATCCAGGAATAAAAGTTTTGGACCTTCTGCACAGTTCCCATCCTGTGATTAGAATGCCTGAGGATAAGATACAAGACGAAAGAATTTAACTTTATACTTCCCGTTTCACACGTGTTGGCATAAAGATTTCGAGTATTTTATTTCTTGGCTGACCAGTAAAGCAGTCTTACTGACCTTGTGTTTTGTTTCGTCTTTATATTTGAAATTTTAATCCTCGTGAACTGACGACCTTTCTTTCGCAAATAACACAAATGGGAGCATTAGTGCTTCGTACATTTTTCTGAACGTGATTCGGTCTTCGTCTGCAACTGTTCACCTTCTAATTCCAGGCAGCGGCCAATTGAATTCGGTAGTTTCATCG